ACATTTATTTGACTATAACCTTCAATTAAACACTTATCTTTAATGACTTCAATTAATAATGTTGCAACTTCTTCTACCTTCAATTTGAATAATCCTCTATCTAAAACTTCTGATGAACAACAACAACAACAATATCAACAAACCTTTATCTCACCAAGTGGGGTCAAAGAACTAAAATGAGGCTTTAACACACAATCTTCAAGTTAAGAGCGTTGAACTCTACCAACTAAGCTTAAATTTGCTTAATAAATGGTGTAACAAACCTTATGATTAAATAAAACTTAATTTTAACATTTAATATTTTTCATATAATTTATTATTCTAAATAAAATACAATACATTAAACCCTAACTTGCTTTTTTTCCCCCCTTGAAAGCTTGGTTCGGTTGTCTCTTGCACAAGATTCACATGCAAAAGCACTTTCATTTGGTTCGATTTCCTTTTGCATAAGTAGCGCCAATCCTTTCTCTCCAGCTTCTGCACATGCCATTGAAGCCCTTCCACGCCTTGGCTCTTGCTTCCGGACCTCAAAAATGCTTGGGATAGAGCGTCTCTGCACACTGAAATTCCTCCTTGAGCCGATCGTGCTTTTTCCGAGCATAGGAAGCTTCACTTGCACTAGCCTCCTTCCTCTCTGCCGAGCAGCTAGGGTACAAAATTCCCTCGACTTCTTCCCGTCACGCTGTCATTGGCTTCACATGACAAGCTGAGTTGCACCTTTCTTTTCCCCCTCTCCTCCCTCTACCTTTCTTCTTCGTCTGCCGCCACTTCTTCTTCTCCTCCTCGTTTTCTCCGAGTCTTTGTTCATTTTCTGCCTCTCTCATTTGGTTTGAAAGCCACTTCTTCTTCTCCTCCTCGTTTTCTCCGAGTTTTTGTTCATTTTCTGCCTCTCTCATTTGGTTTGAAATGAAACAAGAGGATGCATCCTCATTTGATTTCCCTCAAGCAGCACTTCTCTAAACGACGCTAGCATACATAAACTATTACTATTTTAAGTTGTTTTAACACCATCTTCAAATTTGATGCATTAAAAATTCTAAAACTAGGACCAGAGTTGTAAGACAAACGTTAGAGCAGTCACTATCAATATCCATTAAATATCCTTCCATGAAACTCAGATCCAAAACTTTGTATTTTAGTCGAGCTATAATTACAGAACTCTGTCGGGACTCCAAAAACCTCTAATATAATTTGTAAAAGACATTTTCATATTGTTTTGATTGAATGATCTTAATATCGGCCTTCACATTTTGGGGTGATGTTTTAGTAAATTTTTCTAAAATTTCGTTGTAATTAGACCATCTTTCTGATTGAAAACATTGCTTGCTCAGGCTCTAATCGGGGATCCAAGAAGAATCATACAGGATGACCTTTTGAAATCTGATGGCTATCTTCAGAGCTCATCCTGTAGCAGAAGAGGATTTGCTTCCTCCTCTTCCAGCCATGATACTGCCATCTTGTGAGTAGCACTTCTGCCATGATATTTTCTTAAGAAGCTCGATGGAGATTTATGAGCACCCTCATTAGTTAAAAAAGTTCAATATAGCTTTCCTGGCAAAAAGATTTATCAAACTCACATTCTCTTTCTTTCTTCTATCTTCTGTTTGCATTTACGATGTGCCATGCTCCATTAAGTTTGAGCTGTTTGCTTCATCAGCTTTGTTGTTTATCTATATAATTGCAAGACACTGACTCAGGTATAGACTTGCGCAAGAATATGGTGACCTAATAAATCTCCATGACTGGTATCAATCTTTCAAAGCAAAAGTAATGATCCCCAGCCCTAAAGCCAAGCGTAAAGTCCAGCATTCACCTGCCTCTAAGAAGGGGAAATCTAAATCACTAGAGAATGAGGTTTCAATCCAGTATCCTTCCAACTTTCCTCATTTTTAAAAATAAAAAATAAAAGAATGCAAAAAAATACTAAATAATCATGCCTTTAAAATAAAAAAGAAATCAAGAACTAAAAACAAAAGTGAGCCCAAATATGCCCTTAGCTTTCTGAAGCAGGCTTATTTGCTATTTGTAAGCGCAATGGTGATCTAACTTCACCAACATGTATCATCTGGCATTTAGGCAAGTATTTATTCCTAGAATACACCGGGAAGTAGGAAAAAATATTAGGTCAGGATTCTGGATGTATCCGGAGTCCAATGGGGGAGCGTCACGTGTCACGTGGGCCCCACAATTTTAACACTGACCAATCCCTGTGCGTTGCGGTGAGTCTACTTGACACGTGTTGCTCCACCATTGGACTACAGATTCAAATTATGTCCGGATTCTGGATGTAATATTTACTCGGGAAGTAGAGGGTTTGAATTTGACTGCTCATCATCCTCACAAACCAGTAAGATAAGAACTTATCATACTTGATTAAAATGTTTCTGAAAATTCCTTGGGACTAATGCTTAGAATTCCGAAGTGATTGAATTGTTGTGGTCCTTAACTGGAATGATTCAGAGCAAGGTTTTGCAGAGCAGTCACAGAGCTTCAAATCACCGGTCTCATTCGATTACCAAGCAAGAGAAGACCAGATTTTTTGCAGAGAATTGTTTTTCAACTCTAGCCTGTTGAATCATTTACATTATATATGAAATTTAAAAGCCAACTTTATGATGAATGAAATTCTTACTTTTCAGTTCTCAAGTTGGTGATTGCAATCGAGCATTAGCCCGGCGGTTTGTTTTTCGGTCGTTTACATACATACAACACAATTGTTACGTATTTATATACATGACACCCAAGCTATAATATTTACATGCAAACACTGAAATCTTTAATATCATATCAAAAGCAGCACTCACATATTTTAGAAACTTAAATGCAAATTTTCATGCATAGATGTTTCATACCAATGTTATGTAAATATGAAAGTTTGGGTGTTAGATAAGTAAATATATGAGAAGTTTTTTGTATGTATGTATAATTTCTATATATGTATATTTCAACCATTTAAAATTTTTAATGAGTGGGTTGTTGAAGGTGACTAATAAAAAAAAAAAAAAA